CAACATGGATGAAACTGGAAGATTTATAGTAAGCTAACTAAGCCAGTGACAGATGGATGAAGCTGCATGATCTCACTCATATGTGGAATCTAAAAACGTTGATCTCATAGAAGAGGGCAGTAGAATGGTGGTCACCAGGGGTTGGGTGTGGGTGGGGTTGGGGAGATGTTGGTCAAAGGATCCAAAATTTCAGTTAGACAGGACGAATAAGTTCAGGAGATATATTGTACAGCATGATGACTATAGTTGATAACTATGTATTATATTCTTGAAAGTTGCTAAGAGACTACTGGGGAGGCTGAGGGAGGAGCTCAGCTCAATAGTTAGAGACCACTGTTTCTTGCTCCTTGGCAAAAAAAGAAGAAGAACAAGAAGAAAAAAAAAAAGTAAGAACAAAAAAATAGTTATAGACCAGCCTGGAGCAACATAATAAGAAGTCGTCTCTAAAAATAAATATACAAATAAATATTAAACAAACAAACAAAAAGGAAAAGTGCAAAGACAGTAGATTTCAAGTGTACTCACTACACATAAATGACATGTATGTGGGGTAGTGCCTATGTCAATTAGCTTGATTTAGCCATTCCACAATGAGCATATACTGCAAAACAACATCTTGTACACAATACATGTATACAATTTAAATTTGTCAGTTAAAAAGAAGTGAAAATAATTATTATGCAAGGTGAAAGAAGCCAGACAAAAAAGGCCACATGTTATATGGTTCTTATTTACATGAGCTGTCTAGAATAGACAAGTCCATAAAGGCAAAGTAGATCAATAGTTGCAAAGGACTGGGAGGGGTGGGAAGAAAAGCTAGATGGTTTGGGGTTTCCTCATAGGGTGATAGAATTGTTCTAAAATTGACTGTTGTGATGGCTACACAACTCTGTATACATACTAAAATTCGTGGAGGAGAAAAAATAAAATACAGCAAGAAACTTGAGCAGGCACTTTGCTAAAGGGTAAACCCAAATGACTAATAGATATCAGCAAAGATGCTTAACATCATTCATCATCAGGAAAGTAAAAATTAAATCCACAATGAGACAACACAATACAACCAACAGACTAGCCAAAGTAGGGAAGTCATCAGTTAGAGGGGTTGGCAAGGATTATGTAATTGTACCGCTGCTGTAACAAATTACCACGATCTTGTGGCTTAAACAAGAAAAATCCACAATCTTGTGGTTCTGGAGGTCAGAAGTCCAAAATCAGTTTCACTGGGACAACAAAACCATGATGTCAGCAGGGCTGGTTGCTTCTGGAGCCTGGAGGGGGAAGCTATCTCTGTGCTTCTTCTGCCTTCCACAGGCTGCAGGCCTTCCTTGGCTTTGGTCCCTTCCTCCATCCTCAAAGCCAGCAGTGGAGCATCTTCAAACTTTTTCTCTCTTTTTCTTCCTCTTTTTTTTTTTTTTT